GTAAGCTGTTTCTCCGAGTTGCATGTCTTTTAGAAGTTAAGAGAGTATAGTATGTTGGAGTAAAATGAGAGCATAAATTGGCTGGCTAATAATTTACTGTTAAAGAAAAGTGGAAACCTCTGTTTTGCATGTAGATAAGAATGTCTGGTCATATTTTATGTGACTAAATGGCTATGGAGCACATTCTAGGTGGAGCTGTAATGTCAAGCTTTTTTACATGGCACCTTGGTGACACATTAGGATTTGTCCACAAATATATTGATGCAAACTGTTTCTCCCCAGAGCTCAGCCAATTTAAATTTTAGTTACAAGATAACTTTCTCAGGGGATACGAGTTGTGTGGTGTTTGTAGCCTCGTTTCTGAGACTCTTGGTGGCAGGGGTGTTTGGCCTGGTACAGGACCTGTTTGCTGTGTCTGTTTGCAGTTCTGACTTCAAAACTATGTTACCTACCTGGAGCTGCTGTCTCCAGTTTGTGCCTCTTTTGGTTTTGGGGCTCCTTAGAGGGCATGTAGTCAAATATGCATCATCTGTGATGCCACCTGTATACTTTTTGGAGCAGAAACCTTAATTTCTTGATGCTGTGCAAAGTGAGGAGGTCAGAATGTTTTGACAATGCTTAATTCTGTCCTTACATCCTTGGGTTTGCTGTAACTTTTTTGTTTAACTTCCGATTGTGCTAACCACGTGAAAACAAGTCAGAGAAACTTTGCATAAAGTATTGATACCTTCCTGTAGTTCCTCAAACAAATAGAGGATCTGCAGCTACCTTTGGGCTGCACGTGGGAGTACCTAACACTGTTTAGCAGTCAGTATAAATAAGACTGTTTCCTGCCTTCATCTAGGAAACCCGAGTTCTAATCTGCCTCTCTTAGTTGCGTGGTGAGGGTTTTGCACAGGGAGGTGGAGGTCAGTTTTTGATGATGGGTAGGTGTGTTTTGGTTTTAGAGGTGTAGGAATAAATCTGTTGGTTCCAAGGAATTAAAAGTGTTGAGATAGACATATAGAGATAGGTGAAGCAAGTGCCACTTATAATCTGCTGTCTTGTTCTGATTTTTTTTTAAGCATAGTTTATATACTGCTGATTGTTCATAGAGTGTTTGAAAGAATGTGGGTGACATGACTTCTTGTAGTTTAGGTTGATTTGACAGTGGACTTAATTTTTTGAAAACTTTTGGAAGAGGATTTGAGAGATAGGAGAATAGTACATTAAATCTGGAAGCATTCAAATAACTTTTTTTTTAGGTGAATATTTTTAATCTGAGCCAAACTTAACCCCCTCACACACACATAAAAAAAGCCCCAACAAACAACCCTCGCCCCCACAAACCCTAGAACCCCAGAACCCTAGATGTTCTGTAATACCTGCCAACATTTAACATCCATTTATCACTGCTGTTTCCCCTCTTATTGCTGAGTTTTTGTGGTCAGCTTTCCCTTTGGTCCCCCCATTGCGAGCCTTTCAGAATGCAAACTTGTTTGTGTTTGGCTTTTTGGGAGCCAGGAGATTATTTTTCAGGTTTACATGAAGAGCAAGGTAAACGTGCCTCTTTTTACACCATATATCTTCTTCCCCACAAGATTCCTGTAGTAGCTGCTCTACTATAGATAAGGTTTTGAACAAGTGTTTTTGTTTAAGTGTATGCTCTTAAATGCATCTTATCTGTTCTACTGCACAGAAATTCCAGCAGATGTTTTTGTCACTTAAAGCTAAAATTAACTTCCTGAGTTGTTTCTAAAATTGACATCTGGAAGGAAATTTTTGCATTCACAAACCTTTCCCTTAATCACAAGGAGTGTGTCAAGGTTAGTGGGCCTCAAGTCTTGGCTGCCTGTCATTTTTCCACATGTCCTTACCTGTCCCTGGGATCTTTCTTGGTGGCTTAAAACTGCTTTGTTTCTTCAGCATGTATACGTTATATGGCGAACCAAACTGACTCCCACAATGGGTTTGGCTGATATATGTAAGAAATATAGATGTCTGGCTGAAACTTTCAAGTAATTAAACAAATTGAACAGAGGGACAAGTTAACTTTAATGAAAATGTAAGTTTTAATATGTAATGAAAGCAATCCCTGTGTATAGTTCAGGAAACTAGAAGCGTGTGAGCATATTTCACATGCAGAATGACTTACTTAAACACAAATACCCACTCTGCTTACTGCCTTCATTAAAGAATATATAGAAAATATAAGTAAACACTACAAATGAAGATAAGACTGAATAGTTGGTGGATATTGTCCTCTCCTGAACACTTTTATCAAAGCATCCACAGAAGTATTTTATACTTAATATTATTCAAGATGATCTGTTTCATGGAATATTTTTGTATCAGTGGAAAATCAGAATAGAGAGTGAGTGATACCATGTTGGTCAACTAAAATAAATCCTCCTACCTGCTCATCCCCCGTGTAGGAGCTGAGTAAAACAAGTCAATGTTAGACTGTTAGCTACTTGCTAACAAAACATAGTTTGGTACTGTGAGGAGTTCAAGCACATGACTAGGTTTTTGATAGGATGCGGCTTGTTGTATTTTAAGGAGCATTTTTTGGTTTTGTTCTTTCTGAAAATTGAAGCATCAGCCCTGGTAAAGGTGTTTCAGTAGCAGGTAAGTATGGGAGGTAACACAGTAAGTAGAGCTACTGAAACTAACAACTTAGCCTGAATAGATTTTTTTAAATTGTTTTTTCTCTTGGCAATATTTCTGTTTATTGGAGAAATGAAATGGAGGAGGCAGCTACAGTCTGTTCACACTCCCAGAAAAAGACAGTGCTTTAGCTACTCTGAGGGGAGACAAGACCTTCTGGGTTAGGGGGGCAACACAATCATTTAGACAGAGTTAACGAAACTTGGAAACTCAAATAGTTGATGCAGTTTGAGTGAGCTGTAGGTAATTTTTTTTTTTCTGTTGAGAATTTTCTTCATTGGTAATAGCTTCATGATCCAAACACAAATTTTAGTGCTGTTGTGGATGAAGGGCTTTGACCTATGTTTATACCTTTCTATAGATAAATTGGGTTAATAGTTGAGCTGGTCAGTAAGAAAACTGAACGAAATCTGGTGCCCGATTTCTCATAAAGCTAAAAAGTACAGGCTGTATTACAGGACCTAAATGTCAGTCCCCTGCAGATCAGACTACTGTTTTGTGTTCTCTAACAGTGCTGCTTTTTCTGTTGTTCCTAGGGGCTGATTTTAATATAGGCAATAAATGTCATGGCTCTTTGTTGTCAGTATATAGGTGACTAGCAAAAAAAGCCCCACTGTTTAACCTGCAAATCTGTTCAGGTGTAGCAGACATAACCTATGTACCTCCTAGGAAAGGACTTAGTTTTTCTCACAAAGACGTAACTAAATATCTTAAAGTTGCCACTGTGAAAACACTGTTCTGATAACTGATGTAGCAGTTCTCTTCTGCTGCTTGTATGCAAAATGAAGGGGAAGGTTCTGGTTTTAGAGAAATTCAGGTTTCTGTGCAGGTAAAACAGTTTAAGTGCTTCCAAGCAGCACTGTCATTCCCCCTTGGTTTTTAATTTAAAAACTGGAAAACTGTTACTTTCAAAAAAGAGACTGGGTTTCTGAGTCATGGTCAGTAATGGAAAACTTCTCTTACTTCTGCTTTCTTCCCTCTTCTTTTCTCCAGAACAAGCTTGCCGTCCCCGATGTTTTCCAGAAATGACTTCAGTATCTGGAGTATCTTAAGAAAATGCATTGGAATGGTAAGTAATCAGAAAGCTATCTTAAAAGATGTGAAGTGGTTATTTCATTTGAGGCCCAAATGAAAACTTGTTGGGGAGAGGCATTTTTTTTTTTTTTTTAAATTTGCTGCTTATGCTTTATTTGCTTTCAAACCTGGAGAAGATGAGACTTGGCCAGAGCAATATTCCTTCAGTAAAAGCATTTTCTCTTGATTTTTAACCCTTGAAGTCCTTTGTGGTAGCAAAAATTTCTTACTTTGACTGGGGGGGGGGGGGACACAAAAACAAAAAAACCCAACTACTTTAATTTTGCTCTTCTACCTTCCCCTTAGTATCTCAGTCTTCCACACCCATGATGTTACTGGCCTGACAGTGGCCAGATCAGGGGTTAGCTGGTTGGCACGTAATCTGCTTCGAACTAAGGGTGAATTGAGAAGAGTTAATCTCTCCATTACATCCTGCAATAGGCTGAAAGTATTTACTGCTGATAAACCTCTGTCAGCCTGTAGCAGTAGCCTACAGAAGGGAATGTGTGTTTAGTTGCTCTTGTTTTCTCCTCCTTCCCTTGCTGTAGTTAGAAACAGCACCAAGCATTGAGGTGTGGAAATGCTGGGGAACGCCTGGATTAGCAGCTCCAAGTTTCCTGAGTTGTTGGGAAGCATCTGAGGCTTCTCACAGTGGCTTTAGTGGAAAAGTATTATAACCTTAAAATACACAGAGCAGATTGAAAGCCTGTCTTGCATAAGGTGTGTGCAGGAAAAAAACCATCTCTAAAGGTCTTAATTCTGCTTTGCAGAAATTGTTGCACAGAAGTTGCAGTTTGGGCTGGGGAAGAACGTGCGAGTGGATTGTACCAAAGCGTCTGCCAAAGCTGCTATTGCCAGATGCTGTATTATGGTTAAGAACAGTGCTGCTTACTGCGCATCTTGACACTGGTCATACTATATGCTTTTAATTTGTTACTGCAGGAAGTTTAAAACATTTCTATGTTGTGCATTCAGAGGTCATGCTTTTTAAAAATCAGAAAGAGAATAAACAGTATTAAAACTATAGGACTTCTCTTAAATTTTTATTCCTATTACAAAAATTCATTTTTTCTTCAGAGCACAGAATCCCTGTCTCTATTCCTGTGCTGCCACGTTTCCCTGTCCTTTTTCATCCTCTTCCCCCCACCTGCCCACTTGCCTTCAAAAAAGATAATATGTTTAAGTAATTAAATGGCCTATATCTATTTTAAGAGTAATAAATAACATAATCTTTAAAGGAGTCCTTAATGCTTCATTCCATTATTTCATCTCACCTTCTTAAGTCATCTGTTGATAGGAAATTTGTTTGTTTGTTGTTTGGTTTTCTATTTGTTTTAAAAGTAGCCTTAATGTTAATGCAGACAGGCTTATCAAGGATGTACAGGGTTATTTCCTTTCAGCATTAGTGGAGCTGGGTCAAGCACATTGCATTAGCACTAAGAGCACCATTTATTTTTGCAATAAGCCAATTACACTTGGATTACTGCATGTCAGTGTATCTAATGATTTGGTTTTTAACACAAATTTCACTTGTGCATCAGGAGCTGTCGAAGATCACAATGCCAGTTATATTCAATGAGCCACTGAGCTTTCTGCAGCGACTCACGGAGTACATGGAGCACACGTACCTCATCCACAAAGCCAGCTCGCTTTCCAGCACAACTGAGCGAATGCAGGTACTTCGGGCATGGTAGTTTGTGCTCACTCTGGATGAATGCACTGGGATTTTTCATCTTCATAGGCAGTCTCATTATAAAAGGAACTCCTGTAATTTGCTTCATGTGGGATTCTCTTACTCATTAACCAGTTTTGCTTATTTAGGAAAATGTCTTGCTTTTCCTAAGGCTTACTTTTTTAGCCTTTTGATGAAAATTCTTTATTCTCCTGCCTTGCAAACAGAACTTTGCTGAGCTGTTTCAGAAGAATCATTCTATAGTACCATGACTGCTGTTGATACTTGATAAAGACTAAAATCCAGGAAATTAACTGTGTACTCTTACTCTTTTGAATAGTGTGTTGCTGCATTTGCCGTGTCTGCTGTAGCTTCACAGTGGGAACGTACAGGGAAGCCATTCAACCCACTGCTTGGAGAGACATATGAATTGATCAGGTAACGAACAGAACTTCCACTGAAGAGTGGAGAGTGGTGTTCTGTGTAACTGATGTTTCATTAGACTTGTCAGGTGGCTTTCAGATTGCTCTTTGGCTTGTCAGATTCGACCCTTTCTCCTAGCAGCTGCTGGAGGCGCTTGCAGTATGTGTTGGTGTTCAGCAAATGCACCTTCCAGTGAAGGGTAACAACTAAACTTTTCAACTCAGAGCATACAAATGAAATTTGCTAGGTTTAAAGGTTTATTTACAAAAATGACTTTTTTTTTTTTTTCCTGAAACCTTCTGAATTAAAAGATTCGTGGTACATAAGAGAGGTGTTAGAATTGTAATATTTATTATATGTGTCTCCAGAATACAAATAGGCAATGTGAATCTGTTAGTGTACAGCTGTATTTGGAACAGTCTTTTCTCTCAGGTGAAGTTTTGACCTATGTTTATGCAAAAGTTTAAGAAAGAGGTCACTATCAAAAGTAAACATATTGGCTGATGAGGTGTGGTAGTTCTTGTTACCTTTTTACGTTACATCCTCATTTATTTAGAATGAGGATGTTCTATGTATTAGTTGATCTGTCTTTTTGTTTTATCCTAGGGTTTTAACTAACTCTTGCACTCAGTACAGCAATTATGCCTGGGTCCAACTATCTGTTTCACCCTGAAGAAAAGAATTGCAACTTCACTACACTTGATATGTAGATGCATGCTTTTGGTTATCTTTATTTTGCAGAGATGATCTGGGGTTTAGACTTCTCTCAGAGCAAGTTAGCCATCATCCACCAATCAGTGCTTTCTATGCTGAAGGTTTAAATAATGATTTTGTGTTTCATGGATCAATTTACCCTAAACTCAAATTCTGGGGCAAGAGTGTGGAAGCTGAACCAAAAGGCACAATGACTTTGGAGCTTCTTGAGTAAGTTGATAAGTAATAATTGCATGGGCACAGTGGCCACATCCGTGATGATTAGTGTCCATTAGAGCCTCATGGCATAGGAACGGACATGTCTGACACCCACATCCTAATGTCTGCTGGCAGATCACTTTGTGGGGAGGAAGGGATGAGAAGATGGAAGGGACTGTCATAATTTCCCCTAATCTGCTTACTTATAGCAGCAGGAGTTGGGGCTTTTATCTATATGTTCTGCAGATGCCTGGACGTCAGTCCTACTAAGACTAGCATGCTTGAGTCCTGTTGGCTTTCCTCATGTCATTCAGTGCAAACAGTGACTGTACTGAAGCGCCTGTTTTAAGGAGCTGATAATCAGTAGCAGTAGGTTAATAAACTTCTTGGGTTTCCAGACTTCTTGCTATGTCCATTTCAAGACTTGGTGTGATTTATAGGTAATGGCTTGTTGCAGGAGTGACATCCAATACGAAGATACAGTATTTTAATTTTTATTCCCCTCCCTTAGGCACAATGAAGCCTACACATGGATAAATCCTACATGCTGTGTGCATAACATTATTGTGGGCAAACTTTGGATTGAGCAGTATGGAAACGTGGAAATAACTAACCATAAGTAAGTTAAGAGTGTGAGTGCCTTCACTTGCTGCAAGTTTGAAGAGAAACAGCATTTGGAAGTAATTAGTGCCCTCTTGTTCTGCCTTTAGAACTGGTGAGAAATGTGTACTAAGCTTCAAGCCCTGCGGCCTCTTTGGGAAGGAGTTGCATAAAGTTGAAGGCTACATTCAGGACAAAAGGTAACAGCTTCGTTCCTGGTAGGAAACAAAGGGCTGCCCTCTGTTTCTGATGGGAGCTGTAGAACTGAATGCCCTTAGCATAGCCTGTCAAGGACATGGATCTGCAACAGCAAGATTATGAATTGTGCAGTGCCAATAATGGAGTTCTAAAAGTTGCTCTCGGAAGTTCTTCTTTCAAGTATTTTTGTCTGAAATTATGAAATAAATATATTTAAGCTCCATTTTAAGCTTACTCTTTTTTTGACAGCAAGAAGAAACTTTGTGCACTGTATGGGAAGTGGACTGAGTGTTTGTACAGTGTTGACCCAGCTACATTTGAAGCTTACAAAAAAAATGACAAGAAAAATACAGAAGAGAAGAAAAGCAGTAAACAGGTATTAATCATGTAAAGAGGTGGGATTTCAAAAGCATGATAAGACTGCTAAATATTTTAGTAGCATTTAAGAGCGTTAAGATTTCTTTTCACTTATACTCTCTTATTCTAGTAGGGTACAAAACAGATTGGACGAGTACCAGCATTAAGGGATAAATGCTTCCTCAAGGATTTGTATTCAAAGTCCCAAAACTTGGAGTGATCTCTAAGTATTGGTTGGTTCATTATCTGCCTCTTCCTTCTAAGTCACATGGAAGTAATAGTATATCTACTAGTTGAACCATGGTTCTGATCATATCTGGTAATATTTATATTCTAATAGGAGGATTTGGACTCCTAGAGGTAGGATAAACTATTTCTCATCTTGAGAGAAAAATCAGATTTTCCAGCTTTTACAAGGAATTTTGTATTGCTTTCTATTAAATTTTCACAACTATAGAAATGCTTGTTGTTTTGGGGTGGGGTTTTTTTTTCCCTCCACATTTGCTTTTTGCCTTTTTTTTTTTCCCCCTCCTACTGGAAAAAACCCCATTCTTAATTATTCCAGATTCATCAGCAATATGCTTTTTGTTTAAGGTGAATGATGATGGTGACAACATACAGCTTCATGAAGAGCAACAACTCACATAGTAGCTTAAAACAGGGATTATTCCCCTTTGGTGACTGAAGCCAGGTATTTTGTTGGTTTGGGTGTTAGTAGTTTTTATACTTAAGAAAAAAGTGACAGAGAACTCTGAAAGCAGTTGTTCCTATGCAGGTTCAGATTGTTGCTGTATCTGAGGTTGCTCCAGTGCTTGTCATCAGGAGAATGCTAAAGCACTGGGGATTAGTGCTTCTCTTTGAGTCTGACCCTGTGGCTCTGGGGAGAAGGAGCAAAGAAAAACATACCCTGTGTCTTTGTTCACCTGCCACTTTGGATTTTCCAACAATGCTAAAAGGAATCCTTGCTTTTCACTTAAAAATGAAGTGTCCTGTTGCATAAAGCTCAAGCTGCAGTGTTGCTCTGACTCTAGAAAAGCATGTTTTTCCTACACATTTAACAGAACTGTTTCTGTGTAGAAAATTGAAAGCTTTGTAAAGCACACTGTGAATCAGGTAGTCTTTGAATATGTATTCCCACTGCCCCCTTGTGTTTGAGGAGTTGGTATTGCTTGTGGATTTTGAGCATCTGGGTGACCCAAGTGTCAGGTATAATGTCTGGATGTGGTTTGTCCCTTCATGGTAGAGAAGGATTCAGTCAGGCATGAAAGTACATGGCCTTTCAAACCTCTCCTAATTAGAATTTTCAGATTTATTTAATTGTTTTCCAGCTATTCCTTCATGTTGCATTGCTACTAATGAAGAATCACTTTTGTCTTCCTTTAGGGGACCTGCTTGGGTGTGAGTCCCTTTGTAAACTGCCCCAGATTTCCTCGAAATCCCTTTGATTTTTATAGGGATAAAACTTAAGGAAAAAATAGGGAGCTAGACAAACCTTCGTGTGTGCAAAGGTGGTATTTTACCAACATCAGAAGAATTATAGTACATCTGGGTTAGACCAGAATGATTCTGCTCTGAATGAACTAGAGCCTTTTTTTAATCAAGATGAAGCATTTTGTGCAGAATTTTAAGTGCAAATATATGGAGGAACATAATGGAAGGCAACGGCAACTGCCCTCACATGTGCCTGCTTTACAGACACCAGAGGTCTTGCTTTGGCAAAGTCTCTTACTACCTTCCTAGCAATATACTCAGAGGTTGAGTAGCACTGAGCATAAAATATGGATCATTGTGGCAATAGCACGTGAAAATCCACTTTTTACCTACTATTTTGTAATTCTTACAACTTTAAGATTATGTATCCAATAAGGCACAAATAGCAGCCTTTTTACAGAAATTGGTTTGGAGTTTGACAGTCTGGTATTGAAACATCTCTGCTATAAGGATATTTTTCTGATCTGTTCTGCTTCAAATTCCTGATTTCTGAAAGACTGATCAGTCTCCTTTAAAGGACAGCATGGCAGGCTGCCAGCACAGTTAAGATGTAGTCAACTAAAAGCCCTGTTTATCTTCTTAACAGCTGAGGGACTGAACCTGGTCTGCATGTTGTTCTGGTTACTTTGCAACCTGTTCATTAGTAAAAGCACTGTACCCAAGTGTTCCAGAGTGAAACAGAGTCCTTAATACTTCCTAATTTTCTTGGAGGCATAACACACGAATCATCTCAGAGTACACCTAAGTTCAGTTTGCATACTGTGGGTTTTTGCCCTAAAACACTGGTCTGTATTATCTGAGGCAAACATCAGAGAGCAAAGCTTATTAGCAGCAGGATTAAAGCTGTTGACATGTAGCCAAAGTATTTAAAGCATTAGTTGCCTTTAAGTTCAGCTTTACTCTCCAGGGGTCTCTGAAACGTGCTGCTGTTTTTAGCTGTGATAGTGACATCAAGTTTTCTTAGGAGAGCTGTATTCGTTGTGTAGCTGGCTTTAGGGCAGTATGAAAGGATATGCTTGTATGGAGGAATTCATGTCAGCAGCATTGGACCCCAGCTGCTTTAAAGCTGTGCGTAAACAAGCTGTGCGTAAAAGGGGTGATGGTTTAGAGCTAGTTCAGGTCCCTGTTTCTGGGAAAACCATTTCACAGTGTGGTGGCTGCAGCTGCCTCAGGGTGTATATGTCAGCCTTCATAGGATAACCTTCCCAGAAGAAGTAGCTGAGCTAGGATATTCATTTAACATTTCCAGTTTGCCATTTCGATAGTGTAGTGGTCGATGGAAAAGAAAGTGGGTCTGAGCAAAGAGCAGTAGCGTAGGGCTTTCTGTTGTGCACAGACTGGAGACAGCATTTGCATTGTGTGCTGGCATTTCTTTGATGTGGAAGGGTGAGGAATGTGACTTCCCTTCTTCGACTTGAATGAAACAGTAATGGAGTTAAATATCAGACATGGAAATGTTTGTGTTTGAGGAAACGACACATCTTCTGTGGTGGAAAAATTGGCATTTCTTAATGCTTGAACATCCAGATTATGTCTACGAAGACGTTGATGCGAGAAACTGTTGGTAGTCTTCCATTGGGAGGAAACTGAGAGTATGTATGCTGTGTTACTGCTGTTATCCTTCTTGACAAGCATCTAGAAAAGTTTCTTTGTTGCTGAAATTGTTTAACTTTTGGTCAAGGAAATAATTTTATGGAAGTCCTAGTGTTGGAATGAATGGGTGTAAAAGGTTTATGACTCCAAAGAACTCCTTCTCTTTTCTTTGCTTGCTGCCTTTAGGTGGGCAATACTGAGGAACCAGATGAGATGCCATTGCCAGATTCTGAGAGTGTGTATGTTATTCCTGGAAGTATTTTGCTATGGAAGATAACTCCAAGACCTCCAAATTCAGCACAGGTCAGCTATGCTTCTGCTTATTGAAAGTGTGTGATATCCTGTTATTCTGTATTTCAACACAAAGCAAATCCATTTGTTATCTTTTTCATTAACAAGTCTGGATTTGCCTGTTTAATGCAACAAACTCTACTACTACAATTGTAACTTTATAATGTGGGGTTGGAGGGATAACTGCCACAGACATGACTCTAGGGTTAGTGGAATTTCTCTGGAAAATGGGATGCTTTATGTAGCTAGTGGTATGGGGGCTTTCCCCCACCTCTTCTCTCCACCCTGCTCCCCTCACTGAGGCACCTGCCTTGAGAGAATTCTCTTCTGAAAGGCTTTATTAGAGGATAGACAATTCCTAGGAGATGCTTGCAAAGCCTACGTAGCATGAGTTGGTGTGCGAAGGGCTGTGGAGCTGGAGAGCCAGTGAGCAAAATATAAGGGTATGAGTGCAACTGGAAAGACAAAAGAATTGGAACAAGAAAAGGTGCCCTCGGTGGGTTAATCAAGGGGGAAATCTCTCTACAGAGATAGAGAAAATACCAGTAGGACTGGAAAAAAGAAGATAAGAAAGAAATAGTGCACTGAGTAATTGGATGCTGGCCTGCTTAAACAAACACTAAGGATCACCTCCATTCTGCCTGACAGTGCAGTTTTGCTGATACCTTGAGTATTCCTATCTTGAGTGATTAAATAATAAAAAAGCACTTGGATGTTTATTTTTAGACAGTATCTTTCTCATGTATTTAAGACTAGCAGCTAGAGATATTGTAAAGTCACCTTTTATCTTTGTCTCTGAATTTCAGATGTATAATTTTACTAGCTTTGCTATGGCTTTGAATGAGTTGGACAAAGAAATGGAGAATGTCATTCCCAAAACTGACTGCCGGCTACGACCAGATATCAGAGCCATGGAAAATGGAGAAATAGGTAACTTGAATTATTGGCAAAGGAGTTTTCTTTTTTTGTTAAAACCACGGGACTGGAAAAAAAGTAAATTCCACATTCAAGTTGTTAGATTAACTGTTAGAGCAAGTAGCTACCCACAAAGAAACGTTCCTCCATGCTGCAAGACAGTAACTCTTCCATACTGCCTTTTGCAGGTTGTGGTACGCTTCTAGTGAAGGGTACGTCACCCACCTGTACTGGGGCTGGTTGGAATGGAGTTGTTTTGGGGTTTTTTTCATAGCAGCCCATGTATGGTGCTGTGTTTTAGATGGATGACCAAAGCAATGTTGATAACACCTCCATCTGCCCAGTGTTAAGGCCTTCTCTGTTTCTGGGGTTGGCAAGAGGCTGGCAGGGGACGCAGCCAGGACAGCTGAACCAAACTGACCAAAGTGATGTTCCGTACCATATAACGTCATGCTCAGCAATAACTTGTGTGTGTCAGGGGGAAGTAGTTGTTGCTTAGAGACTGGCTGGATACAGGCCTGCTGGTGGAAGCTAGTAAGTGCCTTTGCATCACTTTTTCCTTCTTTTTTTCTTTACCTTCACTTATTAAACTGTCTTTACCTCAACCCATGAGTTTTTTTGGCTTTTGCTCTTCAGTTCTCTCCCTTAACCTGCTGGAGTGGATGGGAGTGAACAAGTGGCTTGTGGGTGCGTAGTTGCTGGCCAAGAACCCACCACACCACCTACTTGCTTATATTCTTCCATATAGGCAAGAAAAACTTCACTATGCTATGCTTTTTATTTAGCCTTAGGCCCTCTGCTGTCCTCCAGTAGTCAAGCCCTATACTTGGAAACTAGTCTAAGGAGGCAATCTCTGAGCATCAAAAGGAAGTATTGTGAATTATTCAGTTTTCTGTTTCCATCAGCCTGATGCAAAAGGACTGTTTCGAAGTGCCAGTTCTGGTAAATGCAGTCAAAACTATTTAAGTAAAACTGCAATGCCAAATAATACACTTGATGCAAAATTATTCTTCACAGGGACTTGAACACTTCTGTGTCCTAAAATAGTGAATTAGAAATACATTATGAGACTTTCAGTGAGTAGAAATAGTGTGCTTTTTAAAAACCTCATAGAGATTGTTACTGTAGATGCCATAGAGTGAAAAGTGTCTCTTAATCTGCTGACATGCTGTTAGATATTTTGATATGATGTGTAACAGCCCTTCCTCTGGCCCTGTTTTGCTCCTATTTCCTTGACATTTTGCATATTAAAGCAGTATGGCCAGGTTTGTAGACTAAAAGCATGGGGGCTCTTGCTTTCTCTGGATTGCTAGGTGATGGGTAAGTCATGAAACATCTGCTTCAGTTTCACCTATGTAATAATGCAATGACTGTGACTATTTCTGATAAATAGTCTGAGATCTAGGTATGAAAAACAGTGACTTGGGCATAATACAGTGCAGTTGTACTGGTGCGGGTTTTGTTTTTTTTCCTCAGAAGCTGATAACCACTTCCTTGAGGCTTTTAAAAAAGCAGATCAGTCAGTTCCCACAAGCAGTCTTTCCTGCCTGCACATGTAATTTTTTTGTGGCCAGAAGGATGGACATACTTGGTTCAGAGCATCCCCAGTAATTTGTCTGTCTAAACTTGAAGCGCAAATAACTGTGCCATTAGCAACAGACCATATTCCTTAACTATACTAGGAGCAGAAAGTTTGTCTAGCAGATAGACTGGTAATACAGTGTGTTGGTAGCTGGCCGGGTAACAAGGAATGGCTGATAGTCTTCCAAAAGTTATTCTCTCAACTACTTCTTTCTAAGGTGTTGATGAATTCCTTTTTGAGGATTTGGTTATGAAAGAGATCACCCTTCACCTAATCGCCTTCTTAGTCTGACTTACTCCTCAGACCTTCTGACCATCCTTTCTGCCAAATAGAAGCAACTGTTCTGCTTGTTTAGGACCATGACCCATGCTGCCTTGGTGTGTTAACAGAAAAATGAAGGGATGCTGCAGAGAGGACAGTCCCTCATGAATTAATATTCCAAACCCATGTTGATCAGGAACTAGGCATTAGTAACAACTTACCTTAAATGTTAACAAGAAGCAGGTGGCTGGACTTCTGTGGGACGACTGCCACAGACATGACTCTAGAGTTAGTGGAATTTCTCTGGAAAATGGGATGCTTCGTGTAGCTAGTGGTATGGGAGCTTTCCCCCACCTCTTCTCTCTACCCTGCTCCCCCCACTGAGGCACCTGCCTTGAGAGAATTCTCTTCTGAAAGGCTTTATTAGAGGGTAGACAATTCCTAGGAGATGCTTGCAAAGCCTACGTAGCATGAGTTGGTGTGCGAAGGGCTGTGGAGCTGGAGAACCAGTGAGCAAAATATAAGGGTATGAGTGCAACTGGAAAGACAAAAGAATTGGAACAAGAAAAGGTGCCTTCGGTGGGTTAATCAAGGGGGAAATCTCTCTACAGAGATAGAGAAATACCAGTAGGACTGGGAAGAGAAGATAAGAAAGAAATAGTGCACTGAGTAATTGGATGCTGCAGAGAGACAGTTCTTTGTGAATGAATATTCCAAACCCCTGTTGATCAGGAACTAGGCATTAGTAACAACTTACCTTAAATGTTAACAAGAAGCAGGTGGTTGGACTTCTGAAATAAATCCAGCATATCTTAATCAGCTTCCCTACTGAAATAAATTCCAGGTGTGCCACGTCCCCTAGCTCACATTTACTGTCATGTAAACACATTTTCGGGGTCCTCAGGCCATGGATAAATGTATATTTAGCAGTCTTAAAGACTGGAATTCCACTGGCTGATCTTGTGCCACCCCTGGTCTGACTTTGCTCTTAGATTAAACCAGAAGCTCTTCTGGGTTATGCAGAAGGCTTTTTAAATGGACAACTTTTACTACTTCCTTTATTTATTTGCTGAGTCAGATGGAGTAATGTCCCTGTCTTGTATTACATTTTAACGTCTTCTGTATTTTTATTTGTGTATTTTTATTCCTTCAAGATCTAGCTAGTGAAGAAAAGAAGAGGCTAGAAGAAAAACAAAGGACTGCCCGCAAAAATCGTTCGAAGTCAGAGGAAGACTGGAAGACGAGGTTAGTGTGCTTGCCTCTGTGTGTGTGGAGTTATATGAAGGTTTTGAACATTGAGGTTAACTGCTAGTCCATGCTGGTGATGGGCAGTGTTGTGTCAGCATGAAGAGCTGATGTCATCAGGTTTAGTAGTGCCACTGTTGTATTTGCAGACTTGGTCCCTGCAGGCTGTAGTGCTTCCAGAGTGAAGCATCAGGCTTAGTCGCAGTTCCTTCCCTCTCCCTGCTTGTACACCCATATTCAAATACAAACCATGTTGTCTTTTCTAAGCACCTCTTGGTTCTGACACAGTAAGATGTTGCTACTGATAGCTGCTTGTAAGGACTGTTGTTGCTGATTAATTTATAATTGACTCAAATTTGCATGCTTGGCCAAAGAGAGGAAGAAATGCTTCCTCTGGTGAACTTGATAGCTTATTGCCCGTGACTTCTCAGATCAGTTGTTGTGTGCTGGCAATACTTTATTCCCACTGCATATAGTTAGTTGGTCTCAAAGTTGGTGAAATTACTTTATCACTGAGATAATTCAAGTCATTGCTTTCTGAGAGGGTTACTAACTACAAAAGTTCAAAGAGCTGAGGAAAAAATTAGCTTACAAAGGATCTACCAGGACGTTTTGTGTCTTGTTGTTTGTTGGTTTGTTTGGGGGTTTTTTTCTGGGGTTTTTGTTTGTTTTACTGTAAGATGAGAGGGTTCAGCTGGGAGCTTTTACACACAAGCCAAGTAGAAACTGTGAAAACATGACCAAATGAATCTAGTTTGACCAGACAAGGTCTGTTTAAAAGTATAGTAATGAATTGCTGGTCTCTTCACAGAAGGAAAAAAAATAAAATTAAAAAAAAAAGGTATGGCTAAACTCTCTGAAAGTAAGCAAGCTTCATCTCTTCCCTAGTAACAATCTATTAATATACCCACTGTGGATTAATTATCTTTAGTATGTCTGTTTGTAACTATAAATCACTTTTTTCTTTTTTTCAAATGAAGTCACCCATCATCCCCGAGTCCCAGGTTTGGACATGTCTGCCTTTGACTTTTTCCTGTGCCTGCTGTCCTAAAGTGTTTGGGTTTGTTTGCCCTGAGACTGGTGGAAAATAACATCTTTGTAATGCTTCCAAGTAAATGTGTTAAGTGCTGGACAGCACTTGCGCCTCCCTCTTTCTTTCCTCAATTCAGGGTGGTTCTAGCTCTCACCAAGTGTTTTCAAACCAAGGGATAGTCATACTGTCTTCTTCCAGGTGCCTGAAGCAGCTTTAAGGTATAGCTCAAAGCTCCTGAAGTTGGTATTGGAAATTGGGGAATTCTCAGGGGGTAACTCAGAGCAGTGGTTTTTGGGGTGTATAATTAGTGCAGACACCATGCACAAGGTTCTCCAGTTGCTGTTTTGCCAGTGCTACAGACCTGCTCAGCACTTGCCTGGGATGTCCTTCAAGTACTCTTTGTTTTCCAGGATGTTTCCAAAAGCTTTGACAGAAAATGCTTCGTGTCTGATCTCTTTAGTAGGAATGCCAAGCGTGACTGCCTCCAAAGGATAAATGTAAAGCGTGGAGGAAGAGTTGTGCTTTGGGGAGGAGGGGGAGAATGCATACTGTGAAGGGAGACTCTCCTACCTGTTCCCAGAAGGTCAACTGTACATCTTAATCTGCAGAGTAATATTAACTCTGATGTAAAATACTATAATTTCCTTGCCACAGAAGAGCAGCCTTACTTTGTCTACTAGAGTTCCTCCCTTGTAGGACAATTCTCCAAAGTGCCTAGTGATATTTTTTTTTTATTATTTTGAAGCCACTTTAGAAGTGGGGTCTTTGTGTTTCTGAAGAAGTGATTCATGGTGAACACTTGATGTTTTACAGACTGACCAGTAGTCTGGAGTAAAAGACTAGTTCAGTTCTGAAACACAGCAGTGGACTGTTGCTTTTCATGATAATTGGTCCCCTCCTTCCCCCATCACTTACCTGGCTAGATTATCTGATTGCTTTGGGTCTCCTGTGTCTCTCAGACTTAGTTCTTCACATCACCTTTCTCCTTCCTATTGAAGTAGGTGGTCACTGGAGGAAGGGCACATTGTCCTGACCTGTACAAGTGTTGAAGACACACTAGTGAGGTATTGGGTGGTAGAATTTCTTAATGTGAGAGATGAGGTGACTGTGCTAATAGGCCTTCCTCTCAGCAAACTCTTTGTGCTCTGGAATGAGCTGCCGTTACCTGTGAACTAGACACATGCGCACACGCTCACACACCAGGTACTTCAGAAGAGCTGAGGTGTCCTTTGTGGAGGTGATGCAGTAGTGGACCATGTACAGTACCAGGGGTGAATGACTTCTGTTGACTTCAGTTCACTTAACCAGGACAGCAGGAGAACCGTTGAAGTGTTCAGCTGTTCAGTTTATCACCATGAAGACAGTACAAGGCATTTCTTCCAATACACATCTTTTGAGCCTGTTAGCTGCCCTGCTTTATATCATGGCACTGCAATACTGGTGGCCTTTTATGCTTTTGCTTTTTAAAGACATCAAGTCATACTTGGTCTGAATGTGCTTTAATTTCTGTTCTGAAACCTTACAGTACCCTAGAAGGGAAGAGCTGATTAAAATGGGCTGCATTGCACATGCACGATTTACTTGAGTGTGTTTGCTGCAGTGAGGCCTATAAAGGAGGAACTGGCTTTTGTGGCCAGTGAGGAGGTGAAAGGAAGCTGTGGAGCATGTTAACCACAGAAACAGCTTCTAGCAAGCTGACTTGTGCCATAAACACGGCTTGGCAAAATACAACAAGAAGCTAAAATGCTAGAGGTCTGGTACTGTGCAGTGTGTGCTGCTGAGGCAGAAGATTAACTGGACCCAAACAGAAAGTGGTGTTCAGTAATGAGCTGCAGGATTGCCAGAAAGAGGTGTGGGAGAGGAAGAAGGACAAAATTCTGTGCCCTGGTAATTTGACAGGGTTGTACTCACCACTGAGGGATTCTTGCCTTGTAGTAGTAGTACAGCCTTGTAAGTGCACCTTATTTAACAGATAACAGCCCTACCCCACCACAAGGTGTAATCTCTGCGTGTGTATGCACAGTGTCTTCAGATTAGGTAGGAGGGGAGAGGAAGGGAAAGAAGATGCTAAACTTTAGTGTTCCTAGCAACAACCAGCTTAGCAAAATCTGTGCAGACAGAATCGGCTTTCTGGCCACTCTGAGTAGCCCCCCAGTGCTAACAGTGTAATGCAGCACAGTTAAGTTGTAATAAGGCAGGACTCTTCCTGCAGCCTGTGGGTGATATTTCATCTCCACTGAGGGCAGATGGCACGCTTGTTCCAAGTTAAGTGCTTTGCAAAACAAGGTTTGAAAAACCAAGGGGAAATCTGTATCCTGGGGAAATAATGTTTTTCTGGTTTCAGGACTGCAGTGCTTGTGGTGTTTACGTGTCTTGCAAAAACGGTTACTGCTTATGCATGCCAAAATGATTGTTCACAACTGCTTTGAAGTAAAACTGTCCCTATCCTTTTTTTTTTTATGTGATAGTCTTGACTGCTTCAAGTGATGAAATATTGGTGTCAGTAATTTCACCTAGGAGATATTAAAGCGGTGTGGCGAATGAGGAGATCTGGTCACTGAAGATGACTTTAATTCATTTATAAATTTAAAACCAAGGGAGCTCCTGCAATCACAATAATTATTTTGAACAGTAAACTGCTGAAGATGCTGCAAAGCAGTTCTGAACTTCTGTAAGTGTGTGTTAACAGCTTCACTAACATGCTGTGTGTTTCCTTGCAGATGGTTCCACCAAGGCCCCAATCCCTATACTGGTACGCAGGACTGGCTTTATTCTGGCAACTACTGGGACAGAAACTACTTTAACTTGCCTGATATTTATTAAAATGCAATAAGGAGCCTGTGACTGATACAAATATGTCTTAATCTGTTTTAATGTCTTCCCTTGTTTTACTTATCTCCTGAAAAAACTGACATGTTATCAAACACAATATTAAGCATCTCCACAGTAAATCTGGTGGTACCTGATCTGCAGTCCCATAGGTAGCAGAATAATTTTTCTGGCTGATGGTTGGTCCTGTGTGGAAAAAGTAAGCCGCCGTGGTGTCGAGCTGCCCTGTTTGCTGTATACACCTATATTAGGTTGTGGTGTATGAGGAATAGAACACCGTTGGCTGGTCTGTGAATACTTTCTTTCGTAGATAACATTGGCACAAGTAAAACTGGTTTTATTTATTGTGACATGGGAATGTTTAAAAGCACACACAGTAATTGCAATACTCTGTTCTTAAATAAAGAAGGGTGTGTCACTTTTGTAAAGATGTAATTTTTCATAAAGTGACTTTTATTTTACTAAAGTAACTCCCTTAAATCCTGAGCTCTGGTAAGCGATTCCAGAAGCGTTCCCATCTCTGGAGCATTAATGCAGTTGTTTAAGCTGGTAATATTACTCAGAGGTATTTATTCAATGTTTTGTGCAGTGTGTATTTGAATTTTGTTCTCCTGTTTTGCTACCACCCTTACAACTTAAGGAATTAAGAGCCATTTAAATATCTATCGATTTTATTTGAACTGCACACTAGTACCAGGTTTCAAAAGAATCTGTTTCATGCACTAGAAGTTCTGGTGCCCAGCACCACTGCAAAAAGGCAAGAACCTAATCAGTCCAGGACCCGGTGGAACACGGCAGGGGGACAGGACCTGTGTCTGTACTGTGCTGAGCAGACTCCCTGGGAGGAAGTCTTGTGCATTTCAAAGGCAGTACAGCACCTCAGCGAGGCCTCCTGTGCACAGCTGCTTTACCCCTTTTCAGTGGGGTGCATTCAACCTTGGAGTGTAAGTTTATATTGAACTGTGTACAGAGCTTCTAGAGGGCAAGCTGCTCTTTGTACAATATTTTAACTGCTGGCTGGAGGTTAGTGTTAATTAAATAATTTAATTGCTACTAAATAAAGGCTTCAAACTGTCTTGCATCTAGGTCTAAAGTGAGTGGTGTTTGACAGTGCTGACCCTTTCTGAGCTCCAGAAGCTGCTGCAATGAAGTTGTATAGCGTGCTGCGGGGTGGGGTTGGGGGATGGCTGGGGAACCGAGAGCTTTCTCCTTGAATACAAAGCTCTAGCTTTGAGGGTGGAATACTGAAACTGTGACTAAGGCAAGGAGGTGCTTTCTATTTCTATTCTCTGTGCTACTAGAATTACCCAGGTAGTGATGCTGAGACATATTTGCATAGATAAAGGAGAGCCTTTTCTTTGGCAGTCTTTCCTGGGAGGGCTTAGTTCAGACATTGAATACCTGCACTGTCTCTTGGAAGCCTCATTTCTACACTCAAGGCTCTATTCTGGCCAGCATTTCTTGAAGTGTGTCTTAATTCCTGTGCAACTTCAAGTGGGATTCTGAGATACCGTAGGAAAAACAAAGCATTTTAGTTCCTACCTGCCCACCCAGGTTCAAGAGGGGGAAACTTCTACACAAGCTCAACTTTTTTTTCTTTTGTTTAGAGTGACTTCTGTTTCATTAGAACAATTTTCCCCCCACCCCACTACATGTATACTTCAAGAGTCTGGCATATTTAAATGACCTTACCTATAGTTGTGAAATCTCTAAAGCAAAATCAATACTTTTTCTTAACCTCTTCCTTCAAGCATAACCTCAGCTGTCCTCCTTGATAAGCCTGTAGTTTTAATGACTTGACCATGTGTGAGTATGACTGTCCTCCTGGTCCTGCCATTTGTGCACAGTTCCTTCCTCAAGTGTAACCCCAGCAGTACAGATTACACCTGGTTACATGGAACTACCTCTGGCTCTGTATGTCATCTGTCAGTGTCATTGGGGCTTATCCATATCCCACGTTAGTATGCTGAAGAAGCTGGTCCACTCTTCAGTGAAACATTTCAGCAGATGTCTCAGCAGTCATAATTCACACAAAGTTAACATTCAGGATGTTGTGGTAGGAAAGTATAAAATTTGGGCATGCAGTTCTAATTGCTGGCCTTTTTTGGAGTATTTGCATTAAATTATTTGATTTATTACAGTGTAAACTCCTCATGAACTTCTGCATAGTCCACACAGCCTCTCTTCTCAACCTGTTGAAAAATAACATGAACTCAATAGAAAGTGTGCTGCAAGAACTACTTCACTTGCTACCTAAAACCACGCTCAGGTGAGGATATTTTGCCACATTCAGAATATTACACAACTGCTAAAACACAACTGCTGCAGGCATAAAGATGTGTATAAATGAGAGATTAAAAACTTGCTTACTTCAGAATAAAAACAGAGCAAGACTAGTACTACTCATTGCAAAGTGTAACAAGCAGAGGAAGGTATGTGCTCTGTTATGTATGATGAGTAGTTTAACCACTGGTCTTAAACTTTATTTTATTTTGAAAAGAGTTAAATTAAGTTTTTAGTAGTAATATCCAAACACTGGCATTGCCTTATGGAAGAAGCAAGCTTACTTCTGCATGACCCTGCTCTGGGAACAGGGGCTGAGGTTAAGGGGAATCTGTCCTGCAGTACCATAACTTTCTGCAAGAGCATTTATACCTGTGTGCTTATCACCAGCTGGTGAGTCTTTCTTTGCAGACATCATGTCATCCAGAGGGACAGCAACTAAGAAAACAGTGGGTGTGCATGGCTTAGTCCCAGTTTCTGCTGCAGAACTAGAACTGAGGATTGCTGTATCTGTTTCCTCAGCAGCTGGCCTGGCAACTGGGACTGGGACTGCAATGAATCTTCTCCTAGCACCTGCCCCTGGCTGTGCAAAGACCGCATGGTTGGGAATAGCTTTCCAGTCCTGTGTGTTTTGAACATTAGAGCCCACTAAAATGAAAGGTGGAGCATTTCCCCCCTTGCTTCCTTCTTGCATCACATAAATTGGAGCAGCTACTTTTGCCAGCTGACCACATTGTTCATCTTTCCCCCTAGAAAGACTGAGGGTTGCCTGGGAATAAGGAACACCAGCTCCACCAGGAGGAAGGGATGGTGGTGATTTTTGACCTTGTCTCAAGTCAGTTAGACAATAGAGAGTCCACACATTAGAATGTGGTGGTGGCTGTCCTGCTTCACTTGATGCCATGGCTACAAAGATAAAAATAAGAGTGCTGGTATTAGGAGCAGTGAATTCCAGTCATATTATAAATTCTTATCTCTAAAACAAACACACCTACCCTTGCTGAAAGCAAGCATGTTTGTTAGAAAAGAGAGCTGGGATAGCAAACACTGACAAGCAGCTGCAGCCTAGTAAAAGTAAAGCTTACTTTTGCTTTACTCTTCTGGGTAAGCATTTGTCTGGCTCTTCTGCAACCGAAATTTGTCAAACACCCCTGAAAGTTTGGGGTTTTTTTAGAAGAGCCAGTGTTAATTCACAAATCTGCTGCTCAGCTCTCCTCCACAAAATGCTCTGCTGTGACCTCACAGCTGTGCTACTTCTCCTGGGGCCTGGGACAGGGCTTGGGCATATTCTGCAGTACCAGGGAGACTGGGGGCAGGGGAGCTCCACGCTGGAGGGTTTCTCCAGCTGGGCAAGGGATGAGCTGGGCACATGTCACCACAGGGAAGAGATGCTGGTGAGGGCCTCAAGAAGAAAGATGAACACCAGCTCTCTTGCTGTTTGTGGAACTGATGAGCAGTGCTTAGCCCACTCAGCCCAGCTGCAGAAACTCACAAAGCTCAAGACAGCAGAGGCAACCACCACCATTTTTTTTCTAAATGGAAAAACTCCCAGATCAGTGCTGGAATATGAGCTCTTTCAGGGGATGAGAATCAAAAATAGGGCTCCAACCAGTCACCTCTCTTCAGCCACAGGGCACATGTATTACATATTAGGTCTCTTAACACCTGCTTCAGAAAATGTGGCTTGTTTTGAGCAAGACCATTTGGCATTGATGGGCACCTTCCCATCACTCTTACCTGCATATTTGCCCACAGGAGCACAGGAGTCCTGCCCAGAGCTAGCCACGTCTTTTGGAACAGATGGCAGCAAGACCTAACACATGTACACTGAGGCCAAGTAAGAGTGTTGGTAGTTTCTTAGAAGTCATCTCTCTACCCTGCATTGCACTGACATAGGTGCTTTTCCATTTAATGACCACTGACAAAGCTGTAGAGCTGGAAGTCCAAACAGGAAGATGATACAAAGACCTAAGACACAAGCTCTTTCTTACCTGACAAGACATAAACTTGCTCAGTTGATTCCATTTGTGCTGTTGATTCCATTGTCTCAGGCTGGCACCCTAAAGCATCAGCTGATGGACCTAAGATTGTAGCACTTGAGCCCTGGCGTGTATTTAATGGCTGCTCAACCTTTAATAGATAAGCTGTTTGGTCTACAAAGGGAACGATTATTTTCTGTGGAAACTGCTCTACATAAGGTGGAACCTCTGCATCCATAGTTGGCTCATCATCCCAACGCAGTGATACAACCTCAGTGGTTGAGGTAACCTCAGCTTTGATGCAGGAAGGCACAGCCTGCAATGGTTCTTTAGGAGCAGGTGATGGTGGTGGTAAAAGAGGTGATGGTTCTTCCCACAAGGGGACTGAGGAACCTTGATTTACATTAGCCTCGCTGTCTGAGGGCCCTAGTTCTCCAGCTATGGAGGACTGACTCCACACTCCTGCTTGTAACGTAACAGCCTCTACAGGAGCTGCTGGGACAGCAGAAGCATCTTCAGTAGCACTTTCTACTGGTGTAAATTCATTCTCTGAGGTCTGAGAGTCTTCATTAAGAGTCTGCACACTGGTTGCCACATCCCTCACAGAATAAAAAGAATCACTGGTACCTAGCACGTGGGCAGCAAGCTGTGCAGGCTCAGCAGGGACGTACACCAGTTCAGGTCCCTCAGGGGATGGAGCTCCATCAGATCCAGGGATGGAATTGCTTTCCACAATGAAACTGTCAGTTGATGGGTATTGAGTTACTTTGGAGCTATACTGAATATCATGTTCTTCAAGGAGGTGGTCTTCCTCTGTGTCGGTACACTTGTCCATTTTCTTGGGCTCCCCAGAAAACAAAGTATCTGTGTACTCTGGTGTCTTCTCTTGCACTTTCTCATTCACATGTTCTGCAAGGTAAAAAAACACATAATGGCAATACATGAGCAATTGTTTCTATTTAAATAAAATTAAGAGTGATTTCAGCACC